TGAAGAGGCGATCTCACCTTACCTTTTGCACATACGGCTAACCTTTCACAAATCAAGCGGTCCCTACTTCTGCCTCCCTTTGTATGCTCTTATCTGCATCCACAGCCTTCAGCCCAGTGTCTCCTTTATCCCCTAAAGTTCATTAATTTAGTAGGATTTTACTGAGCACCTACTCTGAACCATAAACTGTATGTGCCAGGCCCTAGAGTGGTGACCAAAACAGATGTAAGCCTCATCTGCCCAATAAATCTAACAAAAGAGACAGATTTTAACACACAATCTTTCAAATACATTAAGATATGAAAAATTATGTAGAGATTAATATGTTGGAAGTGTGTGTGGGGGGGAGGAGATTGTTCAGGGAGTACTTCTCCCAGAAAATAACGCTTACTACTATGAATCTAAAGTCTAACCATAAGATAAATAGAAAACAGAAATTTAGAAAAAAAAAGAGGACATCTCAAACAAAAAAAGACCTGTAGGTACAAAAGCCCTGAGGTGAGAGGGGGCAATAACGCGTTTCAGAAACTTAATGAAGATCAGAAAGGCAGCCAGAAGATGGGCAAGAATGCAGGCAGGAGGTTAAGTCTGGGATGCAGGTCAGAACCAGGTGATCCTGGGCTGCGTTCGCCACAGGAAGCAATGGGAAGCCATTAGTCTCAGGCAAAGGCAGAGCATGATGTAACTGTCTTTCATAAAGCTCCCTTTAGCTATAGGCCCGGAATGGACTACAGTGAGAAAGAATGGCTGTGGGAACACCAGTAAAAAGACTACAGAAGTCCAACTGAGAGGAGATGTAAGACAAGGCAGCAGCAGTGTAATGAAAAAAACATTCATGCATACACCCAGCAGGAGTCGGGGAAAAACTGGAATATAAGGGGTATGGGAAGATAGGGTGTCAAAGATGTCTCTGACAGCAACAGATAGGGCTGTGATTCCCAGAATACTGAGGAGACCCGACTTTCTGACAGGATATCATGAGTTCAACTTGGAATATGCTGGATTTATTATGTTTGGCACATAGGAAGATCATTCCCATCCATCCCCAAAAGAGTTCCATGCCCCCGTAAGTACGGACCTCAGGAAGATGGGTTTAGAAAAGATAGATTTTGAAAAGAGAACAATCTAAAGCAATATGAATTTGAAATAATATCCTATCAGTCCCGTAACTTCCCAAATGTCTGCATTTATCAAGAAAAATGCCCAATCTTAAGTGCCTAATAAAGAGTCAGCCTAGCCCTGGCCGGGTGACTCTGTTGGTTGGAGCGTCGTCCTATACACCTAAAGGCTGTAGGACACATACCCAGGTTGTGAGTTCAATCTCTGGTTGGGGTTCATACAGGAGGCAGCTGATCTATGTTTCTCTCTCACATAGATGTGTTTCTCTCTCTCTCCCTCTCTCTCTCCACACACACAACACCCTTCTCCTTCTCTAAAATCAATAAAAACATTTCCTCGGGCAAGGATTTAAAAAATAAGAGCCTAGTTCATAAAAACCATACATTGTCATCTGTTTGCAAATAAGCCTCACTCCCAAAATTTTGCTTATTCAATAGAAACAGTGGCAAAAATATGTAAGGAGTAGACATGTATTTCTGGGCAGAGGTTGCTGGAAACAGGAGAGCCTGAGCTGAGCACCTACTACCAGGGAAGATGCTTCATTGCAGTCTGGCTTCATGCAATTCTATCTCGTCTACCATATTCGACCCTTCAATTGTCTAAACCAGTTCCAACTTTGAACACAGTGGTTCCCGTAGTGATAACTGCAATTATGACATTTGTAAATGCCATATTAAACAGATAAGAAATACTGAAAGATTCTACTTTAGAGATGCTCTGAGATACTTGGGAAAAATTCATTAGTACCTTATTCCCCTGGGGGGGTGGGGACAAAAAACGACAAGCACACAAACTTGCTTTCCATGGGCTGAATTGTCTAAGCATTAAGGAAAAACATGTACACACAGAAACTGCTTCCGCTATAAGAATGGAACTATATAGCCCTGATTCTTTTAGGAAGGTCTCAATCTCACCATCTTACATACCTGGGATATCATTCTGGAGAACTAAAGGACATGTTGAAATTACTGCAGATTCCATTTGTCCACTCTACTAGAGCCATGAAGAACCCAGAAGAAATTAGCTAAACAGTGAAGACTACGTATATTCCTTAGTCCAGATTTTTGTGAAAGCACAGATGGAAAACAGTAAACAGGGTATGGGGAGGGCATTCTACCAGCTTCTGACACCTTCCAGCATACCCTATCTCTCCTTCAGCCAGAGAGAACACACACATTCACACTCCAGCATGAGTGGATACTCATTTTGTGGAAGCTGGAACCCTGGTGTTACATCTAACCAGGTACCAACCAAATCTGTAAAATGGGCTGAAGACAATCAAATTAGTAGCACAATGATTTACATCTCTTGACTCCAGAACCAGTTAAAAAAAAACAAACCTGAAAAAGTAAAGCTAAACTGAATTCTATACATCAGCGAAAGCAGCATTATTAAAACAAAACAACATATCTTACTGGCATCTGGAAGGATTAGCACCATCTTAGATTTTCATAACAACCCCATGAGAGGGAAGGCAAATAATATTCCCAGTTCACAAGTGATAAAACCAAGACTCAGGAAGGTGCACCGTTACTGTAATTAAGGCACTTAGCCAGAATTAAATCTTGGAAGTGAATCAAAGTGAATTTCTATAACCAAAATGGAGGCCATTGAACTTAACAAAACACCTTAGCAGTGTACCTTCAATCTTATTTCTCTGTGTTCTAGAAACTACTCAAAACTGTCATATTATAGACTCTCTGAGATGGTCAAATAATAGTCTGGACAGAGAAGAAGATTTTATCTCCATTACCTTGCTTAAGCTGTGACAGGCTGCCCTAATCAGCTTTCGCGCACATAGGCACAGTGGCACGCACGCTCCCTCTCGGTGCCTCTTAATCACCATGTGCCACGCTGAACAGCTGCAGCGGTCTGAAGGGAACTGGCAGAAATGTGCGGTGATGTGCTAGCCACCCCCCTTGAGGCAGCGACTGCCCTGCCTGCTCTCAGACTCAAGAGCACATGGGTGTTTGCTGTCGCAACTGATGGCCCCAGAAGACAGGCAAGTGGTTTCAGGTGGTGAGTCAGGAAAAGCAGTTCGCATCAGGAATGTTCCAGCCCAGCAGAGCTGAGCTGCATCCTACTCCCTATGCAGGCGTACAGTATTCATCATTTACACAATGTCACCGTGGGGGACAAAACTTGGGCTCAGCACAAATAGCATCCAATCAGTTCTGATGCAGAGGAACCAGTAAATGAGGCTTCTCCCACCAAGAAGGAACCTAACTGCTTAAGAAATGCCATCACATCTGACACTAGAGGTCAGTCCTTTTATCCTGAGATAGAGGACTTTACAAAGGCCTGGCACATGGTTTAAGAGCCAAGCCCTGGGCCACCTTGTAGGACCATTCAGCAGCTGCTGCAATCAACTGTGATGTATATTTCCTGGGATGAAAGAGAATAAGGAAAGGGCAATCTTCAAAGAAACCAGGTGGATGCCGTAACACATGCCACACAACGAGCTGCTCATGAATCGAATATGTGCTGCCATTCCTTTCAATGTGATTTTGGATGGATTTCAATAAAACCCACCCGTGTGAAGGAATTCCTTTTTTGTCTCTATGGTATTGTTTATGAACCAGTAAATGAGTGATACGATATCAACTTGGTGAGATAGAGATGTTGGACATTAGATCAGATAACAGGAGACCTGGAAATTGAAAGAGGCTTAAAGCCATCATTTGCACTACACTTCATGAATGAACACAGTTTTCTGTCAAGGTTTATACGATGACAAATGAGCCAATTCTCTGAAGGAACCTGAGGAGATTTAATACTTATTTTAGGGAATCCAGTTTGCTTCCTCTACCTCAAAATTAGTGATTTCACTTTACGCCTGATTTAAAAATTTCTTGCTGTAATTTATTATTCTAGTGACTATGGTATATGATAAAATTGGTGATATATTTATTATACACTATTTTGGCACTAGTTCAAAAGCCAGAGCCTTATTAGGTATGTCACATCATCAGTAGCTTAAAAATCTCCATTTAGGTAAAGAATGTTAATATGGCTTCAATGTCTTAAGACCGGGCATTAGCAAAATGGTCTTTCCTTTCTGAAGATACAATAAAAACTGGCCCAAAACATGACATTGCCTGCAAATATCTCCACTAAACCAAAGTAAGAAAACAACAATCACAGTCCCTCCCTGAACAAAGTTTCTTCAATTACCAAAGGAATAATCCCATTCATGTCCTTTGTTTATCCAGGACACAAAAGAACTGCCCACGATACTTAGGGTGAAAAGGTCAGGAAAAATAAGGAGGAACTAGGAAGCTCTTTACTAGAAGGGCAAATTCTGCAGCTGGTCATAGAATATTATGCTCTACGAACACAAGGAAATGCACTCTGAGGGCCTCTGAGCTGCTGCATGCACAAGACTAGAAAGTCAATGTGCTACCCAAAAGGCTCCACAGGACACCACGGATGCGCCCCCTCCCCTCGGAGACATGCTCCTCTTCTAGGAGAAAACCTCTTCTCCAGAGCCAGCCTATCCCTCAGAAGTCAGGACGGCAGAAAAAAGTGCCAACCATTCCTCACTAGCAAATCCCACAGCACCAACTTTTAATGGAGGTGGCTGGAGAAAACAAGAGAGCCAAGTGATGGAGGTCAAGGCAATATGCAATTACTGAAACTGGAACCGAGCCTGGGAAAGAACGTGTTGCGAGACTCTTGACAATCGCACTGTGGTCAGGGCCCCAATTTCAAACCTCTCCCCAGGGATACCACATCCTTATACATGGAACACCTCTCTACATATCAAAGTAATTCTGCCCGACTTGGTCGAGAAGTGTCATCTGCTGGCCTCTGAGAGTCCATCACAAGGGCCAGCTTAAAATAAGCCCCGCCCATTCACAAATACATTTGTCATCACTTGCCTTTTTCCCAATTAGCTTCTTTCGAAGAAATTCCCGGGCTTCAAACATGTAGGGAATGTCATACAGGGGACGTAGTTTCTTGTTCTTATCCTAAAAGCAAAATAAAACAGCATATCAGGAATGAAGAACTAAACACACACAAAACACAAATGAATACAGCCAATGCACAAAGTACTAGAAGGCAGTGAAATATGTTCCCTGCCTCTTAGGATCACAAATATTAAGTAAGTGCTAGATACATAGTAAATGATTAATATTTGGTTGAAATGCTTTGCAGGGAATAAGAGTATCTTTTTTCATGTGACAGACTCAAAACAAGCAATTAAATGTCTATAATTACTCAACGTGGAAACAACCTAAATGTTCAATCAACAGAAAAATGCCTACATAAACTGATATAGGAAAAGCTTACTAAGTAATAGGGCCCTTCAACTATTTTAGGTATACCATAAATTAATTCTTCTATTCTGTAAGCCTTTATTAAGCACCTACTAACTATTAGCCCCATAAAATGCACTCTGTAAATATGTTATAATCGTGGATTAAAAATTCTTGTAACCTAACAGAGTAATAGAAGAAAGCCTACAGAAATGAAATAGCAACACAAAGCAGTTTTGAATAAGTGCTAAATTGTATGACATAAACTAGGGAATAAGTACAACAAGAATTCAGGTAAGTGGAAAGAAGTAATCAGGAAAGGTTTCCCTGAAAAGGTGGGACTTGATGTGAGTCTGCAGAATAGGAAAAAAACGAGGAAGGAAACTGGAGTTAAAAAAGGAGTTAAAAAAACAGAACAAACAAAAGGAGAAAGGCAGAAATAAATGGTATTTCAACATAAACACACAAATATAAACACACACTTCATCATTTCATGGGCCCCAGACTTCTTATCGCATGTAACCTATAAGCAATGTAACTTTGAGAGTATGAAAGAGGGTCTAGATGAAGGTGACAGAACTGAAAATGGGTAGGAACTGAAGAGATACGAGAACTGTTTCTAAGAAATGAATGAACAGGAACTGACTACAAAATGGATAGAGGGGATAAAAGAGAACTTCAATATTCTAAGTCATGATGACTGGCATTCAAAGTCAAGGGAAGTTTGTCTTTATGGGAGTGGGGAGGGTTAGGGCATGCACACGAGAAGGAGGATGTTGGCTAGATCAGTTGGTGTAAATACTGTAAGATCGCTCTCCCTCCAGCTCCTACGCTCCCTAAAGACTGAGATCCTATCCATTTCTGTTGTTCTCTGTGACCCCAGAGCCAAGTACAGTACCTCCCTCATAGTACATACTCAATAAATGGTTGTACAGATTTGTGAATCTCCAGGACCCAGATAATTTTTGAAAAAAATTCACCAAGAAAGGAGAAAATTAAAGACCCCTCACCTAGGTGTAGGCTGTTGTTCCGACCCCCCCTCCCCAGGCTGTGTGGTTAGACTACCTAGCCTGCCTTTGCCATCTATTACCCATCTGACTAAACAAGATTATCTTTGTATAAACCATTCCATATTCTGAAAGTATTTAAATCGTTATCTCCAATAGCCAACTACTCCCGAATAATTACTCTCTCATTCTAATAGCGATACTTAAACTAATCCTAATGAAAATATTGAGGCCAAAGAAATGGAAACAAATGGTTCCTCCTAAACCCTAACTAAGCCTTGGGGTCCAGAACATATCATTCAAACACTTCAATTCACTGATATCACCAAGAAAAGTCTCGTATCAGAATGTAGAAAATTTTTTGAGTTTGAGTTTCACATTCATCATCAACTGCCTTCTACTTCCGGCTAAAAAAAAAAAAACAACAAAAAACGGAGGCAGCATCATTCCGATGTCCATCTAGGAAGTTAAGACACCTTCAGAAATTAAGGTGAACCTCTGTTTCTTCTCCCAGGTGATGTGTGGGAACCCAAATATTCTACATAGAAATAAGTGATCAATGTCCTCATGTATCATGATCACCGTCTAATAAGTAAGGTAAGGCACTAACATGAAAATCTTTACTAACGTAACACTGCGGTTTTCTTATATGAAACAACAAGAACAGTGAGACAGATGAGAGTTTCCTGGCTAGAGGAAGTGTTTTGTAACACAAGGGCAGATGTACAGAATACAGATATTTTTATAAACACCCAGGCAGCCAAATGAAATTAGTGGGTCACTACTGAGGAGCTTAGTATAATAGATAAGCCATAAAATAAAGTTTATGATGAAACTCAACGATACAGTAAGAATGCTTGCTAGACAGAAGATGTAGGGTGACAGTAATGAACAGGATTTTTAATAAACACAAAATCAATGGTTATCAGAATCAGCCCTCAGGAATAAAGAAGTGCCAATGTATTCATATTTGCCAAGCAATAAAGGACAATCTATTTACAGAGAGTAGCTGTGTGATACACTAGCCTAAAGTGAACATTTTAAAGAATGAATTGAACAAAATACCGACATCTATCTTACATAGCCTTATGATGTGCCACAGAATCTGGGTACCTGAACTTTATCCTACTTATTCTGAAACACTAACAGTACACTCTGACTGAACTCCAAAACAATAACCGAAAGGTAAGAAACAGAGTTCCGACAAGCACTGAAATACAGAACATAGGATGAGGTATGACATCTAAATGTGTGAAAAGGGCTGTCTGAACAAGAATCCTTTTCTTAAGACACTGAACAGGACTGGACCAAGCCAAAACACCCTCAAAAGAATGAAAGAAAACAAACAGTACACCAACAAACATCCCAGTAAGACACAGGGCAATGGGGCAGTCCGATTAAGTCTCTCATGGAACTAGAAAACAACTAATACCACCAGCTGAAAACAAGATATCACAAGTGAAAACAGAATGATCTTGTTACTCTAACCCTTCAGAGCTAGCAGTTATTGACATCTGCAAACATCTTACAAGAGAGATATTAGAAGTCCCTAAGAAACTATAAAATAAAAGCAATTCCTCCAAATTACCAGGTACATAAAAGCCTTTGAAATCTCTAAAAGGCAATTGAAGTAAGGAATGCATTCAGAGAAAACAGGACTTAGCTAAATCTTGCCTACTAAAAAGGACTGTCTAGTTTAAATTCTAATTTACATGAGATTGTTTAAAAAATAAAAATAGAAAAGAATGCCTGCTTATCTGGTGGGTGGACAATACACAAACGAGTATGTACTGTAATCATTGTGCACCTCAAGAAATGACACTGTAGGTAGGCCTGGCAATGACTCACATGAGCGGTAACTGCAGCCTTCTGTAGCTCTCAGGGTTTGGGAGGGAGGCCCAATGCCCACATCTCGGCATCTAAAGACAAGCTTGGCATTTTTACAGGAAGGTCAACTTTTGGCTGATAGCCAAAATGAGGTCTCATTTGGAGGGGATGGAAGGGACCTCCAATCAAGGTCTTATTCTCAACACTCATTCATTGAGGTCTAATTTTATCTAGCCCATGCAGTCGCCAAAAAACTCTTTCCAAATAATCTAATGATCTAGGAATACTGCAAGATTCCTTAAGGAAGGCTGAATAAATACAAACAACTATGAAAAATAAAAAGATTGATAAATGTGGCTCCACTAAAATTTAAGAAGTTCTTTACTGAAAAAAACATCATGAATAAAGTGACAGGCTAAAGTGAAATGGATAAAGAAATGGCAGAGCAGAGTAAGGGGGAACAGGGGTGCAGGGCCACAGTTGTAATCACCTCAGTGAGGCCCATCCTGACCACACTGAATTGTAGCAAAGACTCAATGGAGGTATGAGACGCAATCATCTGGAGAAAGGCAGAGAGAACAACCAACGCAAAGGCCTGAGTTAGAAGTATGCCAAGGTGACTTCAAGGACCAGCAAAGATACCACTGTGACTACAGCAGAGTATACAGGGGGACAGCTGAAGGAGACAAAGACACAAGTCTGACTTAACCTTTGAAAGAATTACTTGGGCCACTGTGTGAAGAACCGACACTATAGTAGAGAAACGGTAGAGCAAAGGGAGACCAATTATGAGATGATGACAGTATCTGGGAAGGGAATGATGGTAGGTTACATCGAAGAGGCAGCAGGAAGGGAAATAAGACATCAGAATCTGGATGTATTTAGGAAGTAGATAGAATGTTAGGTGTGAAAGAAAGGGAGGAATCCACAATGACTCCAAGTGTTTTTTCCTAAGCCAACAGAAATATGGGAGAGGCCACCAAATGAGATGGGAAGGCCACAGGTAGAGTAGACTCAAGAAAGTGCATAGGTCAGGAGTGCAGTAACAGACACGCTAAGCTTCCAAGTGGAGACTTTGAGCAGGTAGTGGGGTATGCAAGCATGAAGTTTGGAAGGAAGGTCTAAACTGGTGATATACATTTGGAGGTTGTTGGCATATAGGTGGTATTTTAAAAGCTAAGAGATTGAAAAGGACCAAGGCTTGGGTCTTGAGGAATGACAATATTCAGAGGTAAAGAGTAAGAGAAGAAAGGAAACCTAGAAAGAGTAACAGTGAGCCAAGTAGGACGAAATGACCAGGGTGTCATGTCCTAGAAGCCAAGCAAAGGAAGGGAATTCAGAAGGAGGGAACGACCTACCATGTCAAATGCAGCAAGACAAGCGAGGCGAAGCCTGAGATTTGCATGTTGGATTAAGCTAAGTGTGGGTCACCAGTAACTCGATAATAATTTTGGTGGAGCAGCAGGGGCAAAAGCCTAATTTGAACCAGAACTAGGAATGGGGAGAGAAAAACTGAAGAAAGCAAGTACATACAATGCTTTTAAAAATGGTGACATAAAGGAATACAAAGAGATTGAGTAGCAGCTGACAAAGTAAAGAAGCTGAAGAGAAGGTGCTTTCATTTTTGATTTTAGATGGCAGCAGTAACAGGCAATGGTCCAGTAAAGAGCAAACTAATGATCAAATAGTGCAGAGGAGAGAAATGCTAAAGCAATGTCCTTAAATAGACAAGGAGAGAGGGCTTTACAGAGGAGTACCAATCGTTCATATTCAGGTGTGTGGATGCAAATACTATTAAGTGGGTAGATGTAGTAGTGAGTCTCTGGAAGTTCTCTTCTATTTCAATTTATTCAGTATAGAAAGGAAGAACTAGAAAAA